TTTATTGTGTTTTAATTTTTCGAGCTTTGAATAATAAGAAAAGAAAAAACAAAATGCTAAAGGAAAAGTCATGTCGAAATGAATGATGCAATGAAACGGAAGCAGAAAAATCGATAAAATATGGCTGAATACTAAAAGACAAATGAGGGTAGGTTCCTGCCAGCTATCATCCAAGCGCATTGAATAGCTATTTGTGCCTGAATCATTTATATCGGATAGGAAACAAGGCAAAATTAGGAATTTAAAAGTCGATTCTTGACCATAATCTCACCGAGTAAACGAGCTGCCACACCTGGATGTCCAAAAATGTAGAGTGCCGAGATCGATAAAATATAAATCACCTTAGTTAAAGAAATAATTACCGGATAAATCAGAAATCCAACCCCTAAAAACCAAATCGTTGTAAAAATATACGCAAGAAAACTTCTTGTTTTCTCCGAAATTGTAATAGCCATTTTAATATATGAATGTATTAGTTTTTTATATATACAACACAATGCAACCAAAGGAGGTATAAAAATGCTTAAAAGACCGATGATCTTGACACATAAGTTAGTATCAGTTTTGATTATAGTAACAACTGCGGAGATCCAAAAAGCAACGAATGCTGTGCATTTGTTGGCCAATTCACAAGCTTCTTCCCAAAAAAAGTTAAAAATGGATCTAAACCAACCCATACCAAAGAACTTGAATAATAGCAATGATTTCTCTTTATCTAAAATATTCAAAAAGAAAAAAGATTTTATTCACGCTCAAGCATCGTTGAGTATTGGATGCGATCAGCAAAGAGTCTACAACAAATAAATGAGAATATCGTCTTTTTTTTCTTATCTCTATGAAACATGGTTTTTTGGTAATGCTCTAGTTCTTAAACGAAGATTCCGTTTCGATGTAATATTCTTGGAGCTAACGGGTGAGTCAGATTAAATTGCCGATCTTTATCAATCGCATTCAGGTCAATTATTTTCCCAACCAACGAGCAATCATCCTATTCCGCAAAGTTACACATTCCTGCATCGCATAAGGCCATCAAACTCATCATCATCCAATTCCTACCCATGCCATCGAATTTTACGCAATTCCTGCCAACTCCTGCATAGGCTGATGTATTCATGTTCAACAGCACATTGCTATAGAAATAAAGATGCAATTCCGCTTTAGAATTCCGAAATTGCATGGATATGGAATGACCAGGAATTCCTGCCAACTCCTGCAGATTCCTGCATAGGTTGATGTATTCATGTTCAACTAAACCTTGCTATGGAAATAAAGATGCAGTTACGTTCTAGAATTCCCGAATTGCGTAGATATGGAATGAACAGGAATTCCTGCATTTCCTAGTGATTCCGAATGTGCACAAATTCCGGAATTCCGCTTTCCATTTATTCAAGCTCGATAAATGATCATTTAGCCATCCATGAGATATTTGTAATTCCGGAATAGGCAGGAATGACCAGGAATTCCTGCATTTCCTAGTGATTCCGGGTATGCACAAATTTTGGAATTCCGCTTTGATATGGAAAGATCTTTTAAAATGATCATTTCGTTATTCAGTATATCCTTCGAGTTGTGGAAGTACCCGGAATGACCCGGAATTGAATGTTCCCAGTTGGATTTGAAAGGAACTAATAATCAGGAATTCCTGGTTGTGGCATGTGTTTGAGGGAAAGAGTCGTTTTAGGATTCCCGGAATTGACGGTAAGGGATTCCGGGTGAGAAGGCGTTGCAGGAATGTGTAACTTTTGGGAATAGGAAGTATTCTCGCTTACTATCTAGTATTGTTGAGTATAATGTCATAACCACATGCATTCGAAAAACTCCAAGTCAACTCAAAAACCTTTTTCGATACTTCGTTCAATTGATGATTGTTTCTTTCCAATATAAAAATAGTCTTAGTATTCCCAGTTTTTTGAATATCATCCATAATTCAACATGGGTGCTTTCATTTGGTCTTATTTTTTCTTAGACCTTTTCATTTATGACTCATACAGATTGGGGAACATGTAAACATTTAAAAGGTCAAATGATGTAAACCTTTTATTGTGATGCTTTTTTTTTCTTCTTTGCCTTCTCACAATAGTTCTTATCTACTTCGTGCTGACACTTCCTTTTTTATTACTATATAAATACAATGGATGATTAGTGCCTCTTACATACACAAATCTTCAATTCAAAACAGCAACTCAACGATAGACTATTATGCAACACAAACATCTTTTTAGCATTCTCCTCCTGGGTAGCTTGATCATGGCGATTATGATCCAAGCAAATGTGATGCCTATGGATAATGACAATCTGCAAGAAGAACAAGATGAAGAAATTCTTGTACGAAATGTTCGAGGTGCATTCGACTGGCAATGCACACAAGCATGTACTCAATGGTGGAAATGTCGATTTAATGGATTTTTCATTCGTCGATGTGATAAGCCTCAAGGATGTATATGTGACAGATTTTTTTGGGAAGTATAGAATTATGAGTTATTTCTAACGATTTTAATAAATAAATAAATGAATCCTTTTAATTACGAATCGATTTCGAACTCTCATGTAAAGTTTTCCATTTGTGGATGACGATGTGAACAAATTAATATATATTCATCAAATAAATTCAAACATGAATCATTTGAAGAATGATGAAGCAAATATTTTATTCTACTATTATTTGTTGTCATAGGAGAATCTCGAACGTAGAAATGCTATCAGAAAAAGTCGACAATATGCAAACAAAGAACGCTATAGTAACGGAATTTTGCAAAAAAAGATATGCCTATTTTACATACAGATATTTATAGTTCAATCATTGATACCAATAGCAACTAATAAAGACAAGATGTTATTCAGTATTGTTGTTTTGCGATTAGTTTGTTTTAAGAAGATTATTGGCAAATTCTGTGAGATATATTTAGGACATTTATGAAAGCAGGCAATAACCATACTTAATTTATAGGAACAATAGATGAGAAGAAAACGATGAAAAGAAATCACATACAGATCAAACTAAACGGACAATATAATTAGAACTAAATAATATAATTTTAAATTGAATAAAATTCTATTCGAATTAGGATAATCTCTTCTTGACCTTTATCAGTTTCAAATCAAAAGAATAATGCCAAACTAATTTTTTTTTCAAAACACATTTTATTAATTCTTTTTGTTTCCTAACTAAAACGGTCTTCTTTTCTCTATATTCGTACAAAAGATATTTTTGCAAACATTTGAAACGATGAAATCATTATTCAAAATTAAATCGTCAATAAACTCCTGCTACTAAATGACTAAGAGAATGAACATCAAAGACTCAAATCAAATTCAATAGACAAATAATTTAGTTCAATCCAATTCGATTTCGAAATGAAAATTTTGAAAACAATGCTCGAATTCATTTTAAACAAAGATTTTCTTTTCACTTATTCATTTTTTGAAAATTTCAAACTGATCAAAACTTGAATAGAATATGGATGCATTCATTGTTCTCTTAAATATAATTAAAAACGAAATCATGTTTTTTTGGAAAAGAAATTTCTATAAAAGTAGAGTTCAATACCATTCGTCAGTGATTGTCAAATTCAATAAAAAAAATATCGAGTTCAAGTTCATGTAACTAAAATACAAAAGTTTATCGTACTACTAATACGTTGAGATATAAAATCGATTTTTCCATTCGGTATGAGAGACCTTTCTGAAATACTCTTTCATTGAGGAAAAGAAAATAAAACTAATCAATACATCCATGAACATATTACAGTCTGAAATACATATAAATAATAGCTAAACTTAGTTGTCTTTTTTTTCTTCAAGAGTGTTCAGTAACTTCTGGCATTTAAAATATTTTTATTCATAAAAGGGACATGATCTTAATAAACTAATATTCAAGTAGTTATATACTACTAAAGTACTTTCATTTTATAATGTTTCCAGAGTGAGGAAAAATTGATGATTTTTTATGAGATTCTTTGTTTAACAAAAGGTCTTTTTTTATTCACTTTGTACAGTATGGCAATATTCTTTCGATTGATCTGAAGATACGTTTAAGTAGCTGATTTTGGTGTTTTTTGAATGGACATGAAAGTGTCTAAACGTGTTTCGCAAATTCTTATTTGCTTGAAAAAGGTCTTAGAAAATGTAGCAATGTTTGTTTTACACATGACGTTATTCTTCGGTTTGTGAGTCATCAGTAGAATACATTATTGAAGAGATCGACAAAAGTTCTATTCGAGGTTTATTTTTCAATTTGTATCCAATTTATTTCTTTCAGCTTTTATGAACTATATAAATGTGATACTTTTGACCAAAAAATCGATTAGAAATGATTGCAATAGCCGCAAAATATCGGGTAATTTCTTTCATTTCTAATATCGATCAATATTGTTACTTAGTGATGAATCTTGAGAAAAGCTGGAACTGGTCGCGGCAAATTCAACGGCATGTTGATCAACAGGTATCGCTGTAGCAGCTATTTGATTACTTCTTGGCATCAAATTTTAGTTATCAGTTGTCTAAATTCTTCTCGAAATACGGAGATCCTCATTCTCTGTGCAACATTCTAGAAGATAGACTCAAATTGTCAAGTATACTTAGCGTGTATATAGTTCCTAGCAAAAGACAACACACATCACGCACATCACATATGCAAATGCTTAAAAAGAATATATCGATATGAGAACGAATCTATTTCTAATGAAATATACTGATAATAATAATATCAGATTAACATTGTACGAATTCATTTTTAGTAAGTTTTATTTAATTAAGAAAAAAATACGATATGTTGCCATATAACAATGCGGTCCGTTAATCATTCCAGCTCTTCAACACGATCTGTTTCTAGGACATACGATATTTGACATCAATAGTCAAATATTCATATGTTATATCAAGCAATTAGCACACTGAACTGATGAAAAAAAAACAAGTGAAGATTTAAATTCCTTAAAAATACAGAAACTCGATATGAATGATAAATGAATATAAGTTTTGTTTACAAATCGAATAATAATTCAGTTCAACTTTGCCAATATACCAATGCTAATGGTATTCTCAGGATTTAATTTAATGTTCACTGCTGCTCCCGGATATAAACTTTTTAGGATCGAATAAATATACAATGGCCAACGTCGAATCCAGCTTCTCCAACCAACTGTTGATACTTTGATGGTTTCATTTGGAACGAAAAATGTAACTTGTAACTCATCATTTGGTATTGGCACATTATATTGTGCACTAGCGAGTAATAAAATCTCGTAGGGTTTTATTCGATATTGAGAATAGCCGTACGATGCTGTAATATGATAAATATTATCACCATAGGTTTTCACTGTAAGACGCTCATTGTCGTTGATTATTGCTCGTTTTGAATACTCAATTTTAAGAAATATGATTACTTGAGGTATGGAATGCATGTGCGATACAAAATTTTCAAATACATGAGGTGTATGTTTCTTCGACATTGTTAGAAAACAAGCAATGCATGGCGTCACTACAGCTGGAATGGTATCATTCGTATTCATATTATGTAACTCCAAATTGGAAGATGCACCGGAGGATGGCAATGGTATTGATACTCTTTGTATTAATTGCACACGGCTTTGAACTTTGGGTAGAGTTCCGTTGCCATTCGCATCACAACCAACATATGAATCTGAATCCGAATCCGAATATGATATGTTATCCGGCTCAGTCCTTTTAATGGTCCAAACGATTGGAATATCAGTAAATGAAATTCGAGAATCTTGTCGCGAGTCTCGAAATAATATGCCGAGTCTTATCGCTAGTATGTTAAGATTTGTTGTCTGCGCATGAATCTTCAAAAACCGACGCAATTGAAATTGACCGAAAAACCAGCAAAAACCAAGAATGAAAAATGCGAATCCAATCAGAATAGCAACCCATCCTCCAGACGGAATCTTGATCGCATTTGATGACCACGTATAAAGATCTATAATGAGAAAGATACCAAATGGTGCAACAACATACCATGGTTTGCGCCACGTATAATGAAGAACAAGCATGTATAAGATAGTTGTGATGACCATCACACTACAAACAGTAACTCCATAAGCATTGGTTATATTAGAACCTGTTTGAAATCCTGTAACGACAGCAATAGTAAGAAGCATTAATATGTAGTTTATAGTCGGAACATAGATTTGACCGATAACCGTTTTTGATGTATGCCATATTTGAAATGGTACCGAGCATTCCATACCAATCGCTTGACTGATCAACGAAAAGCTACCTGTGATTATGGCTTGTGATGCAATTATTGTTGCTATGGTAGCCAGAACGATCATAGGCCAATGTCCCCAATGTGGAACAGAATGATAAAATGGATTATCGATCAAAGTTGGATCGACGATTAACAGTGCACCTTGTCCCAAATAATTGAACAATACAGCAGGAAAAACAATGAAGAACCATGAACAACGAATTGGCCACCGTCCAAAATGGCCTAGATCAGCATACAATGCTTCCAGACCAGTGACAGAGAGAAAAACACCACCAATTTGATAGAAACCTCTTTTCTTCTCTACTAACAAATAATGAAATGCTTCCCATGGATTAAATGCTTTGAAAATACTTGGTTTGTAAGTTGTTCGCCAAATACCAATCATAAACAGACACAAAAACCACAAACACATGATCGGTCCAAAAGTAATCCCAATTTTCGACGTTCCCCATCGTTGAGCAACGAAAAGAAGAATTAAAATTATTACTGTTATCGGTACAATCCACTTTTGTAACTTGGGAGCTTCAATGGCCACTCCCTCGACAGCTGATAACACTGATACAGCTGGTGTTAGTGCACCATCACCAAGTAAGAGAGATCCAGCCAGCATCGATATAACGATTATTACTTTCTTGCGTCTTCGACCTAAGAAACTGTTTTCACTTGTCAATAAACCACATAAAGCAAATGTTCCACCTTCACCATGATTATCAGCATAAGTATGAAAACACCATATTTGATTGATACGGCAACAATTAAACTCCAAACAATCAAGCTGATTGCACCAATGCATTGTGCTTCGGATGGTTGAAAATCGAATATCGTACTGAGAACATATAGTGGTGATGTGCCTATATCACCGAAAATAACACCTAATGAACGAAGTGTAAGATTGAAAAATAATGACGGATTTTTGCATGGTGTAATGTCGATCGTTATCGGATGCTCATTTCTCAACATTGTAGATGGTCTCGCTTGCTGATCTTGATGTATTGGTTGTACTTTAGCTATTGCGTTTCCGTCAATGTGATCGGAGTTTGTATTATTTTTTGTTACCGAATCATCTCCTTTCTTGTTTTTATACTGAGCCATAGTATTGGCTATAATGCAAGAGAAAAAAAAGGCAGAAGTCGATATGTAGATTTTTAAACTAAGTAATGCCTGTATATAACAGTTTTAGGATCGTCATCGGAACCGAAAGCTCTAGTGAGATTTTACAACACATGTTCATGATGCAAGTGTTAACAAGGATATGAGAAAGTTCCAAAGCTCGACAGTCACACTAATACTCGCACTTATACTGTTGTTAACAATGGCAGATCTTGATAAACTCTGCCAAAACTACTAGTAAAAATTAGCAAAAACTAAATTATTTTACAATTCATTTGTTTGGAATTACGTTGTAACTCATTTACGTCGTCCAGTAAACAATGAGGAACGAGCATGCTTTGAGTCTACAGTTGTGGCGATGAATAATAGAATATGTTTGTGTGCACTCGTGGATCAACTTTCGTCATTAGATACAACTTTTCAATAATTACCAACAGGTAGTCGACGATTGGAGATTCTCGAACTAAGTTTAATATCAGACATCTATCAAAAACTAGTGATCAAACTGAATGATGCAAAATTCTCATAGATTACTGGGTAGTATGAATGATTATGAGGGGAAAAGATTGGCAAACGAGTGCCAAGAAATTGATGAATATGCAAAATTATTCTCTTACTCATAGTCAAAATGGTGGAGCCAAAACATACTCGCTTCTTCTTGTCATTTTATTTGCAACACACTAATATACGACCAAGATTGCAGAGATTTGATTCCTTTAACATAGTTTGTTTACAAGTTAGTCACCAGCAAATAACAACAATCACTTTTGTTGTAGATCTCACTACCATTGTCAGTTCGTATGACATTCCTGCAACTAAGATATTAACTTTTCTATCAGAGGCTCATGTATCCTGCAAACATTAGTT